TAGATGTAGTTAATGTAATGGTAATGGACTTCAAGACCAGCAAACCCGGGCGCTCCTATGGCGAGGCCATCACTAAAGTGGGCGAGTTTTCTGTCCAACAAATGGCCAAAATATGGCCACAAAAGTCTGAGCAGCAGTTGTATGGCATGCTTGGACTGACCCCGATGTTAGGCCTTAATGATAATGGCGAGCATTTTATGCAGAGCGACGCCCAGGCGGTGGTGGCTTTTGCCAAACAGAAGCAGATTGGTCATTTGGGTTTTTGGTCAATTAATCGTGATAAACCGTGTCGTAAGGTTAGCCCCAGGTTTAACGGTAACTGGGTGCAGGCTGATCCCAATTGCTCCAGTATCCAGCAGCAAGCATTTGAATTTACTAAGATTTTCAACACCATTAATCAATAAAACTGTATATTTTATACTTGTATTAAAATAACAGCTTAATTATCAGTAGTATTTATTTAGATATTGTTGTCAATCTATGTCAAATAAATATAAAAATTAATAAAACAAATTGATAAATTATATATATTTATTTATATGCCTTTAAAGTCCCTTATAGTGCTCCAGCTGATGTAGATGTTTTTAGAATAAATCTGTATAGGATATTTACAATATTGTAATTTTTACCACGTGTTTGTATTATGTACCTGAACAAATTCTTGTACACTATATCGAGATAACACTGACAAGTAAGTAGTGTTTTATAAAAGTTATTATAAAGGCCAGCGCATGAATATCGGCCAGTGATTGACCAAGCTTCAATACAATCAACAAGATCGCCACTAACTTATTTGCCATACTATTTATATTTAGAATTACTTTAGTTTATTACATAATGTAAAAATTTATTTTTTAATAAGCGTTTACTTGCATTAGTTGATTAGTTTTGCATTTAACAAGTTAATATTTTATAAAATAGAAATTATGTACACATAAGACAATTATTTTTACATAGATTTATTATTATTTAATTAATTTAGATGGTTTAGGTATAGTTGAGTGTAGAAATCATTTGTTAAATATTGTAATTAATAACTAATAAACATTATGTGGACATCAATTTTAATTTGTTTTGTTTGTTTACTTTTAAAACTATTTTAATTCACTTAACTCGTTCTCCACTAACCCTAACGGAAAATATTTCATATAAAATTGTAATTATAAAACACTATTTATCTCTTCTTAATATTTATTATAACAAAATCAAATGTAACAAACCATATGTTTTGTTTTTATAACTATAACTAGAAGAATTAATTAAATAAATAAATTTTTTAATGGAGTTCAATAAGTAATTTATTGTATATAAATCATACAATGATTACGATATTTAAAAACTACAGAACTCGTTATACAGTATATGCACACAAATAGTTGTGGGCTATATTCGAAATGAGTGGACGCATCTGGGGCCAGAACCATAATTTATACAATCTTTACCGGCCGGGCAGAAATTTTTAGTGCAACCGTATCCACCTTCTGGCTCAGCGTACGCCACGTCGGTCAGTAATTGACCAAGCACCAACACCATCAACACGATCGCCACTAGCTTAACTGCCATACTATTCATGTTTATAGTTACTTTAGTTTATTACATAATATATCAATTTAATTGTTTTTATGAGCGTTTACTTACATTTGTCAAGTGATTAGTTGGAGTTTGTTTTTATAAATGGTGGTTGTATTAATTAATTTATAATTCTAATTAATTAAGTAAATACATGCGCGCTTGAGTTACTTAAAAGTGTAAGACTTATGTAAAACTTAGTCCCGTACATAATTTTAGATTTATTTGAATAGATATCAGATCAGCAAATTGTTAATATGTTTTGTTTATCTAAAAACATTAACTTCGTAATCTGGCTGAAAATTACAAATAAGTGATCTAAAAAGTAATTATAAACTTATAATACAAAATAAATTATAATTATAAATAATAAATTATATATTGCTTTAATAGTCAAAATAATTATATCTGCTAAAAACCTATCAAAGAATTTTCAAGAAAATCTCAAAGAAAATATTACTTAAATTACATTTCTTATGGAAATTGAAATATTAACCTGTGAACACTACATACAGTATATTTTATATATTAAATGCAAGTAATTTTATTCTATTAAACAATATTGCAGCCCTATTCTAATATAATTTTTAAACAACTTTTACCAACGTTTACTACTTTTATTAATACTAATTATGAAAATTCTTTTAATACAAATTATTATTAATTTATTATATATTTATTATTGTTGGAGCCTCAAATAGCACCAGTAATTTATACATTTATAAATGCCAAAATCTTATACCTCCAACTTGGAGGTTTTGCATTTATAAATCTATAAATAACTGGTGCTATTTGACCCATCAACTTGTTCAATGCTTGAAATACTTATATTATTTTAATATAAAATATGTGATTAATTTTAGGTACATTCTTATTTTATAAACAGACACTTAAAATATTTAAATTGTGAGATCGTATATAATTTTACATTGACAAAATATTTTTATACAAACATTTTTATTATTAACTCACACTTAATAAACTTGAAAGCCTGTGAGAGCACATGAGGTGCATTTTTGCATTATAATTGGTGCTATCCTATTCAATCATCGCTCATTCTCTTTATATCCTCATCATTTAACATAATTTGATGTTTTTACCATATTAAAATTATAAATTATTTATTCACACAACATAGTGCATAATATAAACTAGATCATAGTCTGTCAATGCGTGCATATCTTTGCATTTGCCCGCATGATAGGGCAACATATTTTATAATCAATTTATTAGTTTTATAATTTATACAAATATGTCGTTATGAAAAAGAGTGTGGTGGGTTGCATTAATTTAATAATTTATGGGTAATATTTTGTAAACAAAATGTAATTGCATTTGTACCTTTGCAAAAATAATTATACCTAGAACTGTTTATTAAGTTTAAATGTTATTTCAAATAACTTATTTGAAATACCGTACTTATTTTTGTTACCCAGATAAAAAAAAAGTAAGTATGACATGAAAGTTTATTATATACAATTTATTATATTAACGACAACGCACTGTTTTGCGGCGGTTTTGATGTATGTCACTTTATTAATAAAACTAGTTGTATAATATACTAATATAATTATGCTCAATAGGATCAATGGTCAAACAACACGGGAAAGTGCGGCATATGTGGCGCCCCATACGATGGTCCGCTCAACAACGAACTGCCCAACGGTTTGTACGCCAAACCCCTGTTCATCACCCGAACCTACGGCTCCGGCAGTTCAGTGGACATTAAAGTGGTCGTAACGGCCAACCATTTCGGGTTCTTTGAGTTCCGTCTGTGTCCAACCACCACAATGGACAGGGAGGTCACTCAGGGTTGTCTGGATCAGCACTTGTTACCTGTGCTCAACTCAAAGGTCGGTGTGACCAGATATGGCCCGCTTAACGATACGGCCCAGTAAGGGCCCGGCGGTATATATCTGGAAAATAGCTGTCATTCAGTCCAAGAGCTGACCGCAGCCTATAAAAAGGTACTGTCTGTGACGGGCGCTACCGGTTTGGATGTGGACGTAGAGGTGTCCATACCTTTAGATACAGTGATGGGAGCGTTGGTCGCCATCCAAAAGGAAAATCCCAACATTACTGTTAGCTTCACTGTTCCTGTAAGTAACATTTAAATCAACATGTTTATTTAATAATAATTTAATGTTATTAATAATGATTAATCATAATTAAACATGTTTACCATATGCATTATACAGACTCAGGGCGATGACTACGGTATGAACGACCCGTACGGCGTGGATGTGCTGAAGAGTGCGGCCAAACACGGCGTTAACGTAGATGTAGTCAATGTAATGGTAATGGACTTCAGGACCAGCAAACCCGGGCGCTCCTATGGCGAGGCCATATCTAAAGTGGGCGAGTTTTCTGTCTAACAAATGACCAAAATATGGCCACAAAAGTCTGAGCAACAGCTCTATGGCATGCTTGGACTGACCCCGATGTTAGGCCTTAATGATAATGACGAGCATTTTATGCAGAGCGATGCCCAGGCGGTGGTGGCCTTTGCCAAACAAAAACAGATAGGGCATTTGGGTTTTTGGTCAATTAATCGTGATAAACCGTGTCGTAAAGTTAGCCCCAGGTTTAACGGTAAATGGGTGCAGGCTGATCCCAATTGCTCCAGTATCCAGCAGCAAGCATTTGAATTTACCAAGATTTTTAACACCATTAATCAATAAAATTGTATAAAAATAGTTTAATTATGAGTAGTATTTAATTAGATATTGTTGTCAATATATGTCAAATGAATATAAAAATTAATAAAACACTTCGGTATCGACAATTGCCATACTATTTATGTTTAGAATTACTTTAGTTTATTACATAATATAAAAATTTATTTATTTTTATAAGCCTTTACTTACATTTTTATGAAATAGAAATTATGTAACGTACACATATGACAATTATTTTTACAGATTTATTATTATTTACTTAATTAGCATGGTTTAGGTGTAGTTTAGTACAGAAATTATTGTTAATTATATTAATTAATAACTTATAAAGATTATGTGGACATCAATATTAATTTGGTTTTGTTTGTTTACTTTTAAAACTATTTTAATTCACTTGTTTTCCACTAACCCTATCAGAAAATATTTCACCTAAAATTTTAATTATAAAACACTATTTTTTTCTTCTATATAATTATTATAAAAAGATTAAATGAGACAAACCATACGTTTTGTTTTTATAACTACAACAGTACGAGAATTAATTAAATAAATAAATTTTTTTAATGGAGTTCAATAAGTAATTAATTTTATATAAATCACACATTGATTATATTTTAAAAAATACAGAACTCTATTATATAAGCATATAAATAGTTGTGGACTCTCTTCCAAACGAGTTAACCATTTTTCTTAACGCAAAGGCCCACATTTTTACCATTAACATAAGAACTTTTACAATGGTAACCGGGATCGCAGTTGCACTTTGGCATTCCGCCTCCTTGTGGCTCAGCGTATGCCACGTGGGTCAGTGATTGACCAAGCACCAATACTATCAACACGATCGCCACTAACTTAACTGCCATACTATTCATGTTTAGAATTACTTTAGTTTATTATATAAGATATATATTTATTTGTTTTTATACACGTTTACTTACATTTTTTCAAGTGATTAGTTGGAGTTTACTTTTCTAAATGGCGGTTATATTAATTAATTTATAATTATAATTAATTAAATAAATACATATGCACACTCCAGTTATTTAGAAATGTAAACCTTGTGTAAAACTTAGCCCCGTACAGAAATAACGAGATTATTTTATAAACAGTCACTTAAAATATTTAAATTATGAGATTGTATATAGTTTTACATATGTTATATAATTTTTATACAAACATTTTTATTATTGTAATAAACTTAAAGGTCCATGAGAGAAAATGGAGAGCATTTTTTTGCATTATAATTCGTGATTTCCTATTCAATAATCACTCATTCACTTTGATATTCCCATTAATTAACATAATTTGATGTTTTTACTTTTATTAAAATTATAAATGATTTATTCACACAACATAATGGATGATATAAACAAGATGCCATATCTTTCAATGTATACGTTATTTTAATAATTTTTAAAAAAATATATCCAATAATTATAATTAACCATAATTCTGTGCTAATTAACTATATAACTATAAACTATTAATTATTAACTATAAATAATATACAAGTGTATATAATAAACTTTTATATCGTACTTACCCTTATCTGGGTAAAAAATAAGTACGGTATTTCAAATAACATTTAAACTTAATAAACAGTTCTAGGTAAAATTATTTTCAAATAGAAAAATAGATTTCATTAGAAATGCAATATTAATTACAGTTAAATTAATTAATAATAATATGATAATCGTATCAATTATCGTATACAAGTGTTAGCCATTACCAAAGGGTATATTGATTTAATTACAGTATACACATGAACATTTTGTAACAACATGTTTGGTATAATTTGACAAATTAATTGCAAGTTAAATTATTAATTACATAAATTAATTGCATGTATAGACACAATATAACTAACAACAACATTATAATAATTATAAAGCACCGTGGTTAGATATACGAAATCTATTATTAGTTGTGATTAGTTCAGCTCATTCATATATCAAGCTTTATTGCATTATTATTATCAATAATAGTAATAATACAGACAATACTTATTAATAATATCTTATACTTATGTATTATACATTATTACAACTAGAATACACTTTACATATACAATCATTGTATATGAAATCAACAAGAACATTTATTAAACTTTAGCACGGCCGATGCAAAGATAAAATGATCCGGATTTTACATAGATACTACAATAATTATCCGGTTTAATTTTAGTATATAAACCACGATGTTTTAAACAAATATTAAAACAAATAGTTATTATAAATTTAATTTATTATTAAAACTAAATTCTATATAAAACTAAACAATGTCTCCGACAATAATGTTTATTATGAGCATAATTGGGCTGATTGTGGTCATACCCGATGCCAATGGTCACGGCTATTTGGCGGACCCGCCGTCCCGGTCAAGCGCCTGGCGTTTTGGCTACAAAACCCACATAAATAATAATGACAACGCTTTGTTTTGCGGCGGTTTTGACGTATGTAACTTTATTAATAAAACTACTTGTGCGATATACTAATATAATTATGTTCAATAGGATCAATGGTCACACAATACGGGAAAGTGCGGCATATGTGGCGACCCATACGAGGGTCCGCACGACAACGAACTGCCCGACGGTTTGTACGCCAAACCCCTGTTTGTCACCCGAACCTACGGCTCCGGCAGTTCAGTGGACATGAAAGTGGTCGTAACGGCCAACCATTTTGGGTACTTCGAGTTCCGTCTGTGTCCGGCCACCACAATGGACAGGGAGGTCACCCAACAGTGTCTGGATCAGCACCTGTTACCTGTGCTCAACTCAAAGGTTGGTGCGACCAGATATGGCCCGCTTAACAATACGGCCCAGTCATACAACGTGACCGTCAAACTGCCCGATGGCCTGAAGTGCGAGCGCTGTGTAGTGCAGTGGACGTGGACTACAGCCACCCATTGGGCGCTGTGTCCGGACGGTGTCGGCCGTATGGGTTGCGGACCGCAGGAGACATTCCGCG